AAACCCCCCCGGGCCCCCCGGACCGGGGAAAAAAAAAACAGGGAAAAAATAAAACCCAAAAGCGAGGGGGGCCCGGGGGGGGGGGGGGGGGGGGGGGTTACTCGTCTCCTGCCTGTGCCAGTGAGCCCGTCGACCACGCATCACTCTCGAGCCGGCGCGCCGCTTTCAACAAAGACGATTCCTGACTTGACGGTTCGACCAACCGTTGTGTCTGCCATGTTCTCCGGGGAAGGACGGGGGCTTACTAACGGAGACGCAACAAACCATAGTTAAAGAGCATCGTCGTGTTATTTCAACCGCAGACCACGTGGGACCTGTATCGACACAAAAATCATCCTCACACACCTGCAGGAGCGCGTGCGACGTCTCCGCGAGTTCCACAAGGTCTATCACCTCTATCGCCTCCCCGCCAAGACTACCACCGTTGCTGCTGCTGCCATCGTTGTTGGTGTCCAGCGGGGGCACCTCTACGCAACTCGCGTAAGCGAGAATGGCACAGCACCTGTAAAAACAACACGAAGAGGAGACGCGGCGAGAGTTGACAACTCGAGAGGATGAAACTTTCGCAAAGACCCCCAACTAAAAGATGGCACCGAAACGTGCTTGCTACACCAGCAATCCTTACCCCGTTCAAAAGAAGATGCAGCTCCGACTTCGCGTGGCTGTTATCTCATGGTACTGTACGTCTCAACGCTCTCTGTAACGCAGGAGAAACAAACCTGGATGGACTCACCAGGGTTCCCTCCGCAAGCACTAGAACCAAGACTCTTCCACAGTCAAAACATACCATGATACCGGTGACACACCGGACCCCACGCCACACACAAGAACAAGAACGTCATCTAGCGCCGAAAACAGTTTCTCTAGCTTACCCCGCCCTCAGGTCCTCCGAAGGACATCGATGTGCAGGGTGGAAGAGAGCCTCCAGGAGGATGTCCATCAACGTGGGATGCCGCACCAAATACGCCGGCGGTCGCCGCTTGGGTTGCTCGCTCTCCGCGGCTTGTAATTCCACCGCCACCGCTGCTGCGCCGATCACGGCCACCCTCTTTCGACGCGTTGGCGACCAGATAAGAAGGAGAAGAGCGGCGATGGCACAGGAGTTTTGAGGCGTTAGCGGGAAGGTGGTGGAGGGTGGAATGAATCGAGTCGTGCAGGGGAGGTATGGGAAATACAACGACGCGAGGACGACGATAACAGCAGTAGCAACAACAACAACAACAACAACAACAACAACAACAACAACAACAACAACAACAACAATAACAACAACAATAACAACAACAAACAACAACAACAACAACAACAACAACAACAACAACAACAACAATAACAACAGCAACAGCTACTATAGTCGTCACAGCCGACCATCATCTGAAAATATGCTCACTATGCATCTACAATTACAACATACCTGTACAATAGTACTTTTCGGGGGGAATCATAAACGGTCCTGGCCGCTTGAAATACTTCGACGTTGCAACCATGCCTCGCACGGCGGCCGGATTTCAACCAGGGCACCAATACCAACCTCTCCGCGACATGAGGCATGCCAACATACCATGTATCAAAAACCTCGGGGAACACAAATGTCTCGATTCAACATCACCGACTCCCTTCTCTCTCTCTACCTCCCTCCTCTTTCTGTACCCCTCTCGGCGTCTCTATGTGTCTCTGTCTGCTTGTCTGTCTGTCTGTCTGTCTGTCTCTGTCTGTCTTTTCCCCTCCCTTCCTCCCTCCCTCCCTCCCTCACCACCGCCGGCTTTAGCCCAAACGCCGACACAAGTCCGTCCACGGCATCCAACAGCACCCCCGCCCGCCGTGCGCCGCCACCTCCGGCCTGCCCCAGAAGCGAAACCACCGCATCCGCTGCCGCCCTCGCCGATTTCTCAGCCGCCACCGCCACGGCCGCCGCCGCCCCAGCCGAGGGTCGCGGGAGTTCTAGAGAGAGGGCCATCTCTACGCCACGGAGGAAACCGCCGGTTGGGGCTCCCGCTGAGGCGGCGCCGTCTTCATCTGCCCCGCCGCCGCCGCCGGCCCCTCTGCCGAACCCTGCTCGGGGGGATGGTTGACCGTTGTCTCGTGATTTGCAAGTGGGTGTCGTAGGAGCACCACACCGATTTTTGTTTGCGAATTTCGTTTCGGCACGCTTGTTTAGGTGTGAATGACGTACACGAGAGCCGATACAAGCCGTCTTGTGCTGCCGCTGTTGCCGCTACGGCAGACTCCTCAGGGGTCTTACGGGGGGGAGGGTACGTGAGAGTAGTACACGAAACTGCGAGTGATACAGCAGTCTGCAGCTAACGCCGAAGAACAGTACAACTCGCACCGCCAACTCCAGGGAGGAAAGGCACGGTCGCGCTTTTCTTCCCGCAACAATACAACAAAACACAAGCAACGAGGGTTTGCCGCGAATGCACCGGAGGTACCCCCCCAGATTCCATCGAACTCCGGCGGCGCCGCGACAACGCCTAACGCAAACATCTAAACAACAAAAACGCAAAACAAAAAAAACGCAACACACGCGTGCAGCAGCCGTACTTGTACACGTTCTTATTTCAAGGCGAGCGCAAACAGGGTCTCACCATTTCGACTACTGCCTCCGCCGCCAATGCCTGCCCCGCCGCTGATGCTGCGGCTCAGGCTAAAGGCGCCCATGCCGCGACCCCCATCGGGTGAGGAAGAGTTGTTGTCTGCCCTCCCGCCCACGGCGTACATGTGCTTGGCCTGTTTATGAATTATTGGGGGAGTGGATTGAAACGTGCAAGTGTACAGCAGGGGGGTGGGGGGGGGGTGTACTCAATAGTCGTGCATGCCGTAGTCGTTAGACCATTGACCTCGCATCCCTACAAAGCCGGGACGGAGCATGCCGGGTTCTCACCGGACCAGGCTCTCACATCACCAAGCGCGAAGCACCGTGAGGTATTAGGCGAGTCGCATGGAGGGTGAGCTGCATCCTGCTAAGGGTGTTCGGCATCTTGTGCTCACTTCCTTGCGAACGGATGACAGCTGCGTATGACTTAATTTATTTTCTGGTGCTTTCACTTCCAGAGACAGTTATAAGCACTGTGTAGCTGCCTCGAGGGCGCTTGGCCAATTTAACACAACGTGGTGCGATCATCCCCCTTGCGCGGAGTGAGGTTTCTCGACCCCGTACAACATGATCTACTCGACCACCAATATTGTTACCGCCAAAAAAAAAAAAACAGAGGTAAAAAAAAAAACGGTAACCTGGTTGCCGAGTTCACGAAGTGAATTGGCTCCTTTTACAAACGTCGTTGCCAAGCGACGAAAACCCAATCCCGATGGCAAACACCGGGGGGGGCGGCTTGTTTTACAACGTCGTTACCAAGTGACGATTACCCAACCCCGATGGCAAACACCGGGGGGGGGTGGGGGGGGGGGGGGGGG